TAATTCTTGTTCTTACTGTTAAAAGTGGTTACTGTTCAAGAAAAGGATGGGGAGGAGAGAACAAAGAGGATTTCAGTTTTCATTTTGTATCATCTATACAGTTTAAATTTTCTGATTATGTACATATATTATTCTCAACAAAGTTATTTAACATTGAGTAAGCAGGGATGAGTTAATACAAATAACTTAGGAAAGTGCACAGTTGGCATTCAGTAAGTGTTTGCTATTATCATTGTGGTTCACTAAAAAATTTTTTCTATGTTTCTAGGTTTTAAAAATAGTAAAGGTTTTATTATTAAAAAATAAACTTGTTGAGAATCATGGCTTTATGTAATTGTTAAAACACAGCACAATTTAATCCTTGGTCTAAAATATATTGTTCCAGATTCCTTTTTCTTGCTTAACATAATATAATCAACAACCCAGAGACATATTAAAAATGAATCTTCTTAAAAGTAAAGGATACAGAAACAAAAGTACAAAACAATGGGAGGGAGCCCAAGAGAGAAAGAGAATGAATGATTTTGTTTTCAGAGAATACAGTCAGCTTCCTGCTATTAAAACAACTGTAAAGGACCAAAAAATAAAACAAAAACAAAGATAAAAGATGTTGTTCACCTACCCTCAAGGCAGGAACAAGATGAGAAAGACTGTCCCGGAGGTAGGCATAGTGCCTGAAGGTATGATCTGAGAACAATGCTGGCATTGTTGGACAGGTTTTAGCAGCATTGAAAATAAGAACCAAAACTGCAATGTCTGATGGATGAGTGCGTTAAGTAAACTTGGAGGTATGAAGGGTTGAGCTTGGCCAGGGTCTAGGTCCTCCATTTCCCTCGAACAAAGAAATGCATTACCCCACTCCAAATTACCCCAATTATTTCTCCAATAACCAAAGATTTTTTAAACTAATGCCTGATACTGCTGAGAATACTAACAAATAGAAACTTTCAGTGTAAGATTAGAGGCACCAGAGGGAGGGGTGAGCACGTCGGACACTGATGACGTGCCAAAGTCCTGGCTGCTGCCCCCTCCCAACCTGAAAAATGTGCCTTGGGCTAGCCAATCCTCAAGCCGTTGTAAATCTAAGCTCTGCCTCCCCCTACCTTCTTTAAAAACTCACTGCCTGCCCTGACTTCCCCGGCCTGTGACTAGCCAGACTGGGAAACATCGCCCGGAATTGCGCTCAAATAAATTGCCTGGCCCTTTGTTGCCTCTCGTCACCTGCTTATTTCAGTTATCCAAGAGTGACTCAGGAAATGTCCACAGTCTCCCCAGATAAAAACCATCAGAGTACAGGCACAGTCTAGCCCATGTCCTCATTTCACCAATCCGATCAGGTCTAGAGGGCCAAGAACTGTCAATCAAGGACTTTTCTGCCCTGCCAAAACATCATAAAAGAAGCCTCACGTTAGGCAGCTAGGGCCTGTCAGACATTAGGTCGGGGCCTGCTCTGTTACAGAGTGTAATAAATTTGCTTGCTTGCTTGCTTGATTTTGGATCCACTCTATCCAACTTCCCTGTGACTCTGAACCGAACTCCTTCTTATCAAGATCCTAAAACTCATTTTGTGAGTATAGGCCAACAGAGTCAGAAAAACTAGTTTATAACCAACACTGGAAATCAAAATAGTCAAGCTGATCATAACAATGTTAATTCTGTCAAAGGAAAGGGATGATATGATCCCCTCACCTGATGGTGAACTCGAGCAGCTCCTGGGTTCCCTGGGGGTCCAGGTGCTGAAGACTGTACACTCTTTCAAGGCTGTGCTGCAGGAACTGATGGGAAGGATCTTCATGAGGTGTGATACTGGGGGAAACGGCTGATGACACTAGTTTTCTACCTGGTAACTAAGCAAACAGTGGGGTTACAATGCCATCAAATTCTGTGGCTAAGCTTTTGGTAATACAAAGAAATCAGAAAAAGATGTAAGCCAAACAAAGGAAACGGGGAAAAAGGCTACATGATTCTGTAACCTTTCTCTCCTTCCCCAGCTTCAGTGGGAGAAAGAAAAAGAGAGAGAGAAAATGAACACGGTCTACGGATATAGCCAAAAGCTGCAAGGAGAAAAAGAAAAAATGATGGTGTATTATTGTTTTTAATTGCTAACTAAAATAAATGAGCTAGCCATAGAAATGGGACTAAAAATTAATATTGTCACATTTATTTTTAAACTTCATTTGATCTTTCACTTCAGAGAAGAGAGATTTATTCTCAAATAAGTTTATATAGTATGATATAGAAATGCTCTTTATGATAATTGTAATTCTTGTTCTTACTGTTAAAAGTGGTTACTGTTCAAGAAAAGGATGGGGAGGAGAGAACAAAGAGGATTTCAGTTTTCATTTTGTATCATCTATACAGTTTAAATTTTCTGATTATGTACATATATTATTCTCAACAAAGTTATTTAACATTGAGTAAGCAGGGATGAGTTAATACAAATAACTTAGGAAAGTGCACAGTTGGCATTCAGTAAGTGTTTGCTATTATCATTGTGGTTCACTAAAAAATTTTTTCTATGTTTCTAGGTTTTAAAAATAGTAAAGGTTTTATTATTAAAAAATAAACTTGTTGAGAATCATGGCTTTATGTAATTGTTAAAACACAGCACAATTTAATCCTTGGTCTAAAATATATTGTTCCAGATTCCTTTTTCTTGCTTAACATAATATAATCAACAACCCAGAGACATATTAAAAATGAATCTTCTTAAAAGTAAAGGATACAGAAACAAAAGTACAAAACAATGGGAGGGAGCCCAAGAGAGAAAGAGAATGAATGATTTTGTTTTCAGAGAATACAGTCAGCTTCCTGCTATTAAAACAACTGTAAAGGACCAAAAAATAAAACAAAAACAAAGATAAAAGATGTTGTTCACCTACCCTCAAGGCAGGAACAAGATGAGAAAGACTGTCCCGGAGGTAGGCATAGTGCCTGAAGGTATGATCTGAGAACAATGCTGGCATTGTTGGACAGGTTTTAGCAGCATTGAAAATAAGAACCAAAACTGCAATGTCTGATGGATGAGTGCGTTAAGTAAACTTGGAGGTATGAAGGGTTGAGCTTGGCCAGGGTCTAGGTCCTCCATTTCCCTCGAACAAAGAAATGCATTACCCCACTCCAAATTACCCCAATTATTTCTCCAATAACCAAAGATTTTTTAAACTAATGCCTGATACTGCTGAGAATACTAACAAATAGAAACTTTCAGTGTAAGATTAGAGGCACCAGAGGGAGGGGTGAGCACGTCGGACACTGATGACGTGCCAAAGTCCTGGCTGCTGCCCCCTCCCAACCTGAAAAATGTGCCTTGGGCTAGCCAATCCTCAAGCCGCTGTAAATCTAAGCTCTGCCTCCCCCTACCTTCTTTAAAAACTCACTGCCTGCCCTGACTTCCCCGGCCTGTGACTAGCCAGACTGGGAAACATCGCCCGGAATTGCGCTCAAATAAATTGCCTGGCCCTTTGTTGCCTCTCGTCACCTGCTTATTTCAGTTAGAATTTATCTTACATTTGGTGCTGAAAAACCCAGGAAGGAGCATGAGCACAGGGCCCTGACTGGCCATCGGTGGCCCTGGCCCCTCCTTCCCCGACCCGGGACCTCAGCCTGCTCTCTGCTGCGTAGACTATTTTCCGGCAACTCCCTCAGTTTCCCCCAGTCTGTTTCCCTTCCTAACTCCATTTCACCTGGTCTGTCCGAAATCGTAGCTATGTCCAGGTTTGGGCATCCAGTCCATCTGCTGCGGGCATCCGGGATACCAATCCCTGGCCCTGCGGTGTAGGAGATGTCCTGACTTGTGTGCTTGGGACACTGGGCACTCCTCTCAGCAGGATTAGTTGGGAAGTGGCGCAGTTGGGAAGGGGGAACCAGCCCTGTAAGCAGAGGCTCAGACCCCACTGCGGTGCCTCATCTCTAATTTGGCTACTCTCTTTGTCCTGGGAAATTCGCAAATGGAAGCTAGTCTTTCTTTGCTCTGAGGCCGGGCCTCAGTATCCCTTGGACAACCAATCTTGCTGGCCCCTTGAGGGAACTTTCAATTTTGGCCTCCTCACCATCTTGACTAATTATTGCCACCAGAGCAGAGAGTGGGGTGAAATCCTGTATGTGCAGACTTTTTGGACTTTGCACTCCCGCCTAGACCTTTATGTTAAGTGTTCAGTGACTCAGGTTCTCCTGGCCCGATCTCCAGTTAAGGATTGTCAGCCTCTTACTCTGCCCAGTCCTTCTTCCTTTCCAGATCCGCGGGAGGACCTTGGTCTCCCACCTCTCTCAGCTCACTACCCCCACCCCTCTCCAACACCATCTTTAAGTCCTTTGTCCTCCCCCCGTGTCGCTGCCATCTTAAAGTCCTACATTCTCAACCACACCGTCTTCCTGCTCCTCTCCTCTTCTGGTGGCTGCACCACCCGCTCCCCTTCTCCTTCCGCCTTCACCACCCTCTTTCCCCACCAGAACACGCTCCTCCCACCCTCCAGTTCCAGAAGCCACGGACAAGACTCCTCCCAGCACAGCAGACCTGCCTCCTTTCTCTCCCGACCCTACACCCCTCCCGACACCCACCGTTTTGTAAGTGGTCTGGCATGGTTGTTGAGAGTAGGTGAGCTAGGCGTAGCAAGTGAACATCTTAGTGATTGTGTATTGCAGTGTGTGTGCCTGCCTGCAGCCTGAAAATTTTTGTAGTGACCTAGAATCTTAAAGTTTTGCTAAGTTAAGTAGACATATTTGGTGCTTAGACATTATGCTGTAAAGCACATAGTGTCAAGAATTATAAAGTGTGTTCATGAATTTATTAATCTAAAGAATGCTAGTGCAATAGTTTACAATAGCCCATTTCTCAGTGTTCACTGAAAATTAAAGTTCCTAATGGTTTTGAGGTCTAATTAAAGCTATTTAAAGAAAACACCTCTACTTGCTAAAAAGATATGTGTTTCAATAAGAGAAAGTATAAAGAATGGAAATTCGTTTTGTTGAGGGTAAAAGAAGGTAATTGTTCTAAAGTACAGCTATTTATTTGAAGAGGGAGAACACTGAACGTAAAAGGGAAGTTGTAGAAAGCTTGTGGAAGAATTTAATATGGTCATGCTACATCAAATTAAAGCAAATGAATCTCAGTATCAAGTACATAGCAAAGTTAAAATTTGTTTTGAGTTAAAAAGACAAAGTTTTCTTGACTGTTAGTCTGCTCTCAATGTTGAAAGATTGCAGAGTTCTCTAATCACTTTAGCAAAACAGTTTCTCATGCTTAAAGTCTCAATGAGTTGTCTGAATATTTAAGATAATAAGATCTTAATATGAAAAAACTAAAAGCTAAGCTTTGCTAATAACTGTGTAACCTTCTGTATTTGCCTTTAAAATCTTTTGTCATTCTAGTTAAATAGAGTATCGTTTCATAGTAACTTATGATTCTACTTAGACAAATGCCTTAAAAAAAAAACTTTAACAGCTTCCCAAAATCAAATTCAAAAAGGTGCTTTTATTTTTAGCTCTAGTTAATTCTGATATTTTCCAGAGGGCCCCTAGAACATGTCAGAGGAATTTTTTCTCATTAGAAAAAGTATTTGGCCAATTTGGCTTTTTTTTTCTCATTGGAGAAAGTATTTGGCCAATTTAGCTTATTTATCTGATATAAAATTACCTGCTAAATTACCTAGAAAGCACTGTCAAAGGGAATAATGCTAAACTTTGTTATTGAATGTTTTGTGTTACAGAAATATCCAAATTTCCTTATGTCAACTGTCTTACAGTAAGCTCTCATCAGATCTTTAACCATTGTCATTTGTAAGTCTTTTGTCATTTATAGTCACTGTTTTATTACTCCTAAACTAGTAAAGAACTATATTTCACCGAAACAAGTATTAGTTACATAAGAAGTAAGTTAAAAGGGCAGAAGAGGGACCCCAAACTCCACTCCGTGACCTGGTAACTATGGCCTTCAAAGTCTTTAATACCCGTGATGAAGAACATGAGAAGAGGTCAGTGTCGCAAACCTGAGCCTTCGTGGCAGCCCTGCAGCCGGCAGGACAGGGGTCTCATCACACCAAAGACCAGTCCGGAGCTTGTGAGCCTCTGGGACCCTGCTTCCGGTGTGGCCAAGAAGACCACTGGGCAAAGAGATGCCCCAACCTGACCAACAAGCCGACTAAACCCTGTCCAGTTTGCAGTAAGAGAAGTTCATTGGAAAGTAGAGTGCCCAGTTAGAAAAGGTCATCCTCCCGTGACAGTCTCGTGGGAGGCAGGCCCCCCTGAAGGACTCCCCTCCGGACCTGCTGAGCCTACTCAAAGACTGAAGATGCCTAGACTCGAACATCCCTATCACCCTTGCTGAGCCCAGGGCCACACTGTGGGTAGCAGGTAAGTCCATCTCCTTTTTGGTAGATACAGAGGCTGCCTACTCTGTTTTACCTTCCTTTCACGGGCATTTACATCCTTCCCAGGTCTCGGTCATGGGTGTCACGGGAACCCCCTCTAAGCCTCTAGAGACAGGTCCTGTAGTCTACACATTTGACAGCCATTTTCTTACCCACTCATTTCTAGTCATCCCATCCTGTCCCTTCCCTTTGTTAGGGAGAGATATCCTCTCCAAGCTTAGTGCTTCTATCTCCCTGCCTCTTAGTCATCCCCAACCGAACTCACTCATCATCTTAGCCAATATAAGTTATAGTCCTGAGCCCTCCACAGACCCTCCTGTACCGTTGACCAGCATTAACCCGATAGTCTGAGACACCTCTACTCCTGTAGTGTCGAGCCATCATTCTCCAGTCCTCATCTGCCTCAAAGACCCATCCTCCTCTCCTTCTAAACCCCAATTTCCTATTTCCCAAGCCCATCACAGGGCATCCTACCTATCATTAACCATCTTCTTTCCCAAAAGCTTCTGGTACCAACTAATTCTCCCTGTAACACTCCAGTCCTTCCAGTCAAGAAGCCATTGGAGGCCTACCAGCTTATTCAAGACCTGCAGATAATCAACGAAGCTGTAGTCCCTCTTCACCCAGTCATCCCTAACCCTTATACTCTCTTATCTCAAGTTCCCCCGAACACCTCTCCTACCTACCTTACTTCTCACTCCTAAGAAAGATACCCCTTGTCCTGCCCAATGCTTGCCTTTCCATTCTTTAGTCCAGGCTGCCTGCTACGAACAAGCCTCAGTCTGTCTCTCATCATCCGGACTACAGTACTAGATGGAGCAAAGCCTGAGTGACCATGCTAGATATATCTGTCCTGAGAGATGAAGACAACATATCTGCTAGAACCTTTGGCCACTGAAACAGAGGTCAGACAGTAGAAGTGAACAAGACCATGTGGGTACATCAGTACTCGCCGCTTCCCTCCAAGCCTCCTCTGGCCTCCCACCAGCCATACCCTACCCGCACCGCCCTTCCTCAGTCAGAGGTAGCCAGATCGAGTTGGCGCCCATTATAACCAAAAGGCTAGAATGTAAGGTTGGAGGCACTGGAGGGAAGGGTGAGCACGGTGGACACTGATGACGTGCCAAAGTCCCTGGCTGCTGCCCCCTCCCAACCTGAAAAATGTGCCTTAGGCTAGCCAATCCTCACACCGCTGTAAATGTAAGCTCTGCCTCCCCCTACCTTCTTTAAAAACTCACTGCCTGCCCTGCTGAGTGTGACTTCCCTGGCCTGTGACTAGCCAGACTGGGGAACACTGCCCGGGATTGCACTCAGATAAATTGCCTGGCCCTTTGCTGCCTCTCGTCGCCTGCTTATTTTGGTTAGAATTTATCTTACATTCAGTACACTGCCTATGAAGTATATAAATGGCACAATCCCCTTGGATAATAATTTGGTACTAGACAGCAAGAGTCTTACAAATTTTGACTAATTCCACATCTCAAAATCTATTCTGCATAAATAATCAGATAGTACAGAATCAGTAGCAAATTATCAGAAACAACCTAAATGTCCAAAACAGGAGAATGATTTTGCAACTTGTTTCATCTACTTGATATAGTATTATACAATCATTAAAAATTATATTTAGAAAGTATTTATAATATTGTATCATAAGCATAAGAAAGAATTTAATAATATTGAGTCATAAGTGAAAAAAGCAGGCTCTAAAGTACACAGAGGATATGAGAGCAGCTATCTATTATCAAATATTTGTTGATGAAATTAACTATGTTAAAAAATAACACCAAAATTCCAACCCCAAGAGTTTAAAAAAGGGGGAAGGAAATAAACCAAAGTATTAAGTCAATTCCTTTGGCTAGTAGAACTTTGGGTTTTAAATAAGAAGTTTTTAGATTTTCTTTCCATATATACTAATTTTATAATAGATGGCAGGTCAGAAATTAAAAGTAAAAGATAGACATACCTTTCAATCTGTACGTATCTCTGTGGCAAAGCTACCTGCCTACCCAATACCCATTCTTCCCTTTTTCCTTAATGATAGAACACCAATTTTGTTCCAAATATCCTAACTTCCTACCTAGAACCTGGACCTAATGATTGGAGCTCTAACAACAATCCTGAAAAACACTACCCAGCAGAAAAGAAACACAGACAGAGGCTGGAACCATGAAGAATAATGTGGAGCTGCTGTACCACCACTGGACTGCTTACCTCCAGATTTCTTTACAGTGGAGAAAAATAAGAATAATTTGTTTAAGCTACATTTGGGGGCAATCTCTGTTACTCAGAGCCAAACACATTTCCTGAATAACATAATCCTCCAACTACCCAGGAAAGTATCTTAACATAACAGGCTTCCAAAAATGTTTCACGCTGTTTGCAATGTAAAAGGGCCTTCAGATTTCAGAGCGCTTCAGCATGTCATGTGAGATTGGTATGAACACCTAGCTTACAAGCCCCTTTTTGATGAGCTGAACTTCAAACAGCTCTAGTATTCCACCTTAGGGGTAAGGTCTAAGTTGTGTCATCCTTCAAGTACACACAAAATCAGGCATTGGCTAGTATATCAATGATACATTCTTTAAAATCCTCCAAACACACTAAAAAAATTAACAGAACTGAGAGAATACTATGGTCACCTTACAATAGCCCGTTTTCTGGGTTATCCCTGTGTCTCTATAGATACACCCTACACCTCACCAAGGATCTTCTATAGAGCAAGAACCATGCGAGAGTGAATACATGAGGCAAATGTATTCCATTAGCAGAAAACAATACAAGTGCACAGCACACTGTCATTGGCTATCCTGAACCACTGAACTTGCATCAGAGGCAGAGTGGTCCTGCAACCTAGCTCAGCCCATCCATTCCTTCAGGCTGCAGATCAAAAATTAAACATGGAATAAGACAGGGGAAAGTCCATAGGCTTTAAAACCAAAGATGTCTGGCTTTGAACACCCCGTTTAACTTGTATGAACAGTTATTTAGCCTCTCTAAGCCTTGGCTTCCTCATCTATAAACTGGGAATACTACTACTTTCCAGGGGTGTTTGGAAGATCATTGCTAGAATACATAAAGCATTTAAACAGTATATGGAATATAGTAGGTTAAAAAATTTTGGTATTAAACAGCAAAGATGAATTACTGTGAAAACAAGAATGAGAGCTGACCACCAGGTTCCCCTCAGGATATACTCTTACCTAAAAGAAAGGAAAAACAAACAAACAAAAACTCATACCACCCAAGCTACACTGCAGAAAAAGCCACATTCCCTGCCAAGTCAGCAGAGTCTGTCCTAAGCACAGAGGATACAAGCTGGATCATCCATGTCTGGTTCAGCTGTGTCAAAAAACGGGTGGGTGCTCAGGAGCTCTGGCACCAAGGGAAGCACTAGGGTTGGATGCCGACTCCCCAGAAACTTCAAGCATCTGAAACAAACAAAATGAGAGCCCACTTTAGTAAGTTAATAAATGCTTTAAAAAGTACTGGGAATTGGAATCAGAAAAGTTGATTTGAAATCGCAAATTCTGAACCATCTCCTTCTGCTACCTTTGCAGATAAGTCATTCAATTATTTTGGAACTCAAGTTAATTTACCTAAAAGATTGCATTTATTATGAAGACAAAAGATCTGGTCTGGGACATCCTACTACTAGTTATTTAACCAACAGCCATTTCCCCATCTTGCTTGTCAAGAGAACCCTGTTTTTATTCAGATATTGGGTAGGTATCAAAGTGCTCAGAGAAAGTAGCCCCAACCTACTTTGGGCCCAACCACAGTTGGTCTAAACCCATTATGGCAATCCATTCCCATTTTCCAGTGACTGCTTTGCGGGTAATCAAGTAACCCAGTTCTGGTCAGTGGAGCAAGAGGGCAAGTCTGTTGGGGAGCCTCTCAGGGATGTTTTCCTAACCAAATAAAAAGAGAAATGCATGAGAGGGAATGCTCTTTCCTTTCCATCTTAAGATACTGTCTTATGAGGCAGACTTCTTGCAACTATGAAGAAAAAGCCAAGGTAACTAGAGAAATCAACCAGAGTGTGAGCCCTGCTAAACTGATGACTGACCAATTAATCCTGAAACCAACTTACTTCTTGTTATACAAAATAATTACACCTTATTGTTTCAGCCAGTTTTAATCAGATTTTGTTACTTGTAGTCAAAAGCATTGTAACTGATAATCCTTGGTGAAGTTCTAAATCAGAAAAGCCCTGATCTTAAACTGAATAACTGTGTGGCCTTGGACAGAAAAGTTTCTTACCGACAAAATGGAATTAAAATTCATTACCTCATACAGTTGCTTATAAAGCTTAAATGAGATGATAAATGAAAAGTCCTTAAGGAAGGTGTCTGTGATTTAGTAAGACCTCAATTAACTACTAGTAGCTATTAATTGGCTATTAGTTAACTATTATGACTACATGAATGCCCTTTATAAGCTATGAAGGATTACATGTGTGGGTGATTATGCATTTTTATGATTTTTACTCATTTTATTGTTATTTATTATATATTTTATTATTTATTTTTATTTTATTATGTTCATTATTTATGAATATTTATTTTCATTTTACATAATTGTGCATATTTATTATTTTATGTTTTATGTTTCATGTATTATTTTTATTTATTTCTTGTTATTTTTAAGTTTTGGCTTAGGAGGTGTGCTGAATTGAAAAGAAATATAAATCATAATTTCTGTTCTCATTGAGCTTACAATCCAGCAGAAGCAGAGATAACTAATGCCTACAAAGTAATGAACTATTGAATGAATGACACTCTGCTTTCTAACTGTCAAAAGTAGATGAGATCACTATGATCAGAGGACGTTTCATAGAAAAGATAGGCGTGTATAATTGGTAGATTGGCAAAAGAGAGGAAACAATGCCATGAATGAATTCATGGATATATGGGGTATGGAAGGTATCACAAGGAAAACACTTTATATGTTTAAGAAAGTACATGTTTCCCAGTCCTGTTTTTCTTTCTATGTGGAAAGAATTCATTAATTTTCTGACCTTTCTCAGACTTTTAAACTCACTGTGTCTCACAGGAACTGAAAAGGTTGTAGTTTGGCCTCCAAGTGCCATTCCTTTAGCTTTCATTCCACTCAAATCTCCTAAGCACCTGGGCCTCTTAGATTTCAATTCTGACTTGGAATACTTTTTACTATCTCACCACCTCCCTACCTACATATTTCCTGTTCTCTTCCTTCCTGCTATGTGAGGGCTAAGTCTGAGTTGAATCCACTTCTAAATCTCCACAGCACGTAACACAGTGACTCGTTTGTAACAAGTGCTCAATAAGCATGTTCAATGAACTAAAGATACATAAACAGAACAACTACCTCCTTCAAACTTTCATTTATGTAACTATCTTTAGCAATGTCTTAAAAACATGCCACTGTGACAATTCCTTCAATCATTATGGAATTCTTTTTTGTTTTTTCTAAATAAAGCTACGATTCATGGGAAGAAATGAAAAAAAATCAAGTGATAATTAGAACAGGTGATGTCAAAATCTTTTGGAACACTTTAAGGTAAAGGAGTTTGTTGTCTATAATAACCTAATAGAGACAGTCTTACATAAATATTCTGGGTAAAATAAATACCAATCTTATGTTAAGGTAAGAAGAATGTTCTGCAAAACCCCCCATAACAATCCCTTCATCAAGAATAATTAATCATTCCTTTTGTGTCACCACAGAACTAAGCGCTGTTAGAGGTGTTTCTCCCAACAGCAACCCCCACACCCCATGTGACTGCGTGCTCCCTGAAGACAAGAAATGTATGTTGAATTGAGCTGAAATGGATTGAACAAACATGAAAAAATGTGAAAAACAGAAAACCAGGTATCAAAAATGTTACACAGAAAAAGACTCCTCTGGTCCTTCTACTTTTTAATGTATCTTCCAAGTACCTGATTGGACCCACAGGGTTTCTACTTTTGGTAAAAGATTTTTTTCTGAAAATCAATAACCTATACAATTGGAGTGATCTCTTCATACAGGCCCATACAAATATGTGCAGCACAATAATATACATCTTATATTAAATGTATGCCAAACAGTTCTTTGAATAGCAATCCATGACAGTTTTAACAATCTTGATTCTAGTTAGGAAAGCTAACGGTAATCAGTGGAAAAAATGATTGTGATTTCCCATCTGTAGACCAAGTGCCCACCCTGCCTCAAATCTCTGCAGTCTGTGATCCTATAGAAGATGCAAAATAGACAAAGGAGTAATTAACACTACATAGGAGACAAAGGAATCTCCTCATTTCTACCTCGAACACCACAGGGCTTGGCACATAGTAAGCACACAGTAGGCACATAATATCTGGTAAATGGATGGATGGACAAATGAATAAATAATCTAAAATGTGACAATCAATTTAAAAATGAGACTTCTGAGAGCTGAGATCTAAACTGAGACCAAAATTGAGGGTCATATCTTCAATCTATAATGATCCACAGAATAATGTCAACATTGTACATTTACCACATTATTAGACTTACTGAGCAAATGACCAAAAATGTCCTTACTTCCATATGGAGTCCCTATCAGTAGGGTACTTGGTTAAATTTTTCAGTAGCTCCACCAGTGCAAGATGAATCCCTTCTTTGGTTGAAACATTAGTACAGCATAAGAGTTCATGAAGAGCCTCTCTAATATCTCTGGATGAATCCTTAAAAAAAAACAAACAGGTGGTAATAATAATAATAATAATAATAATAGCAGCCACTGTAGATTTAGCTGTTATGGAGGTATGTACAAGTTACAATGAGAGACAGGGTAAAGACTCTCTCAATTTTCTGAGAGGGAAGGGGCTGGTAGTTAAGAAGACTTCACGGAGGAGGTGAGAGTTGAAGAATACATTTATTTCTTCATTTATTCTTTTATACATTCAACATTTACTGAACACTTAGTCAAACATTTTCCAAGCACCTATTATTTATGAAGTGCTAGAGACATAGTATTAATTAAAATAAAATTCCTATTCTCAGGAGCTTCATTTTAATGAACAGACAAAAATAACTAACTAAATACATAGTCAGATAGCAGTAAGTACTATGGAGAAAGTGAACGGCAGCTTAAGGATACAGCACTGGGGTGGGTAGGGCATTTTACAAAGGAACAGCAAACACAAAGTCTATGAGGTGGACGCATGTTTGCAAAACAGCAAAGAAGCCCCTGGGGCTGCGGCAGAGTGAGCTAGAGTGTAGTAGATGTCAGAGGAGTGGCCCCTTCCTTCCCCAACTCCTCCTGCTCACCTCCACACTAAGATAACTGGAAAAGGTCACCAACTTCATGCTAAAGTAAATCAACACACAGCAGTTCTACTCTTATTTTTTATCTGCACAGCATTTTTACCAGTTCTTTAAAAATTTTTAATATAGACAGTATGAAACATATATAGAGATAATAAATAAATTTAAACAATTAACTGATAGCCAATCTTGTTTCATCTGTACCTTAAACTACTCCCAAGAAGATTACTTTGAAGCCAGTCAGAGATATCATAGCATTTTATTGGTAAATATTTCCATATATACCTCTTAAAAATATTTTTATTTTTAAAAACTCACAAAATCAATTATGCCTAAAAATTTAATAATTCCTTAATATCAAATATCTGGTCAAATTTTTCTGACTCCCAGCCTTTACCTGTGGCTACATGCTATCCTTCTGGCCTATACTGCTATTCCTTACCTTACTTCTGATACTATCTTGTAATGTCTGGTTTACATCATTGCAGTCTCCATAAAAATATGAGCAACTCAGAGGCAAGAACAGCTACCACCTACTCTGACATCCCCATAACCTAGTACAGAACCTGGTTCAGCAAAAAAAATCGGTAAATGTTTCTCAAATGATGCCATCAATATCATGAACTACTACCAAAGGAACGCCTTCACGTGCCAAGCATCCTGTTAAGCACTTTACATGAATTTGCTAATTTGCACAAGTAACATATGAATATGTGGAATTATCCTTGCTTTATACATGAGGAAACTAAAGACCAGAGAGATTAAATAATTTGTCCAAAGTCACAAAGCTGGAAGAGACACTCCACTAAAGTCCTTTAATAGCTTCCAGGTGCTCTTTTCTTAATATGCCTTTCAAGGCTCTGCAGGAGCTGGTCCCACCCACCCCTCCAGCCTGATCTCATACCACACACTAGCTCTGTTACAGCCAGGCCCTCTTTGGGGCTCTCCACTGTGCCATGGTTCCACCTACCACAGAGTTTTGATACTTGCTGCTCCTCTGCCTGGAATGTCCTTGCACTTCACACTTCCAACTTCCTGCCAAGTTAGTGCCTAATTCCTTCTTCAGAGCTAAGCTTTAAAAGCTTTTCCTGATAGCTGCATCCCAGTCAACCCCTAAAGACCAAATGCCTCTGTGATACATTCCCATGGGACCACGCTCCTTTCTATCATGAGCTCCTTAGGTTAGCTTACTCTTATACTTTCGTCTGCATCTTATTTGTCTCCCTAAATTATATGTATGGAAACCTAAATGTGTGTAATTTATATAAAATATGTATCTGTAAACCTAAATTATAAGGTCCATGAGAGGAAGGCCATGTTTTTTGTTCACTATTGTATACTTCTCAGCACAGTATTGGTATATAACAGGGTTGATAAACATT